AAAAACAAGGCTCCAGGAATTGACAGCATACCAATTGATTTATTTCATTTCAACAAATAGATGCTGCCCTGGATGTGCTCACTAAGTTGTGCCAGGAAATCTGGAGGACAGCCAGCTGGCCAACAGACTGGAAAAGATCAGTATTTGTTCCCATTCCAAAGAAAGGTGACCCAACAGAGTGCGGAAATTATCGAACAATATCATTAATATCACATGCTAACAAGATTCTGCTGAAAATTTTCCAAAAACATTTGGAACAATATGTCAACAGAGAACTGCCAGATGTGCAGGCTGGATTTAAGAAGAGGTCATGGTACTAGGGATATTATAGCTAATGTTAGATCGATCTTGGCAGAAAGCAGAGAATACCAAAAGAATGTTTATCTGTGCTTCATTGACTATGCAAAGGCTTTTGACTCTGTGGATCACAACAAGCTAAGGCTGACTTTGAGAAGAATGGGAATCCCAGAACATTTGATTGTGCTAATGCGAAACCTATACTTAGACCAAGAGGCAGTCATCAGAACAGAGCAAGGAAACACTGGATGGTTTAAAATCAAGAAGGGGGTCCATCAGGGATGTATTTTGTCTCCATACCTTTTCAATCTGTATGCACAACAGATCGTCTGAGACACTGGGCTGTATGAGGAGGAATGTGGCATCAGGATTGGTGGAAGAGTCATTAACAACATGCGTTATGCAGATGACATAACCCTCCTTGCTGAAACTGTAGAGGACCCTAAGCACTTGCTGTAGAAGGTCAAGGACTGCAGCCTTCAATATGGATTGAAGCTCAACATCAAGAAAACAAAGATTCTCATTATTAGGCCAATTGCCAGCATTAGTACAGATGAAAAGTTTGAGACAGTTAACAGTTTTAGTTTACTTGGCTCCACAGTCAACACTCTTGGTAACAGCAGCCAGGAAATCAAGAGACAAACTGCATTGGGAAAGTCAGCTGTGAGGGACCTCTCAAGAGTACTGAAGAGCAACGACGTCAGGCTGGAGACTAAGGTGCACCTGATCCAGGCTATAGTCTTCACAGTTACGTGCTATGCATCAGAGAGTTGGACAGTGACTAGGGATGATAAAAAGAATTGATGCTTTTGAGCTGTGGTGCTGGAGAAGAGTGTTGAATATACCATGGACTGCTAGGAGAACAAACAGGTTTGTCCTGGAGAGGGTGAAGCTGGAATGCTCCTTGGAGTCAAGAATTCTAAAGCTTTGTCTGACTTACTTTGAGCATGTTGCAAGGAGAGACTGGTCTTTGGAGAGGGACATCATGTTTGGGAGAGTGGAGGGACAGCACAGGAGAGGAAGACCCTGAATAAGATGGATCGATTCTGTGATTGGGGTGGTGGGAATGAGTGTGCTTGAGATGGCAAGGTTGGTACAGCATAGAATGGTGTTTAGGACTCTTGTACGTAGGGTTGCTATGAGTTGCAAGTGACTCAATGGCACATGACAACAATTGTCGAATTGAATCTGACTGGCACAGGAGGAGATTGCCTTCTCCAGCAGAGCTTCTGGTGGATTTGAACCATGGGCCTTTGGGATTGTAGTGCAGCTTCTTGCCACTAGGCCACCAGAGCTTCCCACTTTTTTATTTTACAGATACTTTGGATTACAGATACTTTGTTAAACACTTTCCTCCCTGCCCATCCCTCCCCCCAGTTCACTTTTCTCTATTTGAAGAAAAAAAGGATTTCATTGTTATACAATCCTTCCCCGCTAAGTCCACTTTACTATGCAGCTCTTATTCTGGACACTTGTCATGAAAATAATACCTAATCATATATTCCTTTTAAACATTTCTGTCCCTGATCTATTTCAATGCAGTATGCATTATTTATCCCATGTTTTCTTAAGTTCTCTCCAACCCTGATGTCATTCCCATTTTACAACAGTGGCACTATGCAGTATTTTTCCTTTTGTGCTGAGATATTTCACTCAGCATAATGTCCTCCAGAGACACCCATTTTGTATAATATTTCATGAGTTCCTTGTTTTTCAATGCAGCATAGTAGTATTCTTTTGGGTGAATATACCACAGTTTCTCTATCCATGTTTGTTGATAGACCTTTGGGTTGTTTCCCCCTCTTTGCTGTTGTAAACAAAGCAGCAGTAAACGTGCATATAGCTGCTTGGGTGGCAGTTCTGGTTTCTTTGTGGTATATTCCCAGTAGTGTAATTGCTGGGTCAAATGGTATTTCTATTTGCAATTTTTTGAGAAAATGCCATAGTTATTGCACCATTTTTTACCCACCAACAATGAATAAGGGTTCAGGTTTCTCTACAACCTCACCAGCATTTGTTATTTGCTCACTTTTTAAAAAAAAAAAAGTTAAAATTGAATCTTTGACATAAGTCTCATCCGTTAACTTAGCTTTTCTACCAGCTCAGGGAGCAGAATCTTTCACAGGCTGCACCATTTTCTGCATGGGCGCTGCTTCAGTGGGAGCCTTAGTGGCAGCTGTTGTGGCCTCCTCAGATGTTTGTTTAGCGTTTTGCTTCCTTGCTGCCCTAATGGCCTGCTCTCGCTGAGCCTTTCTAATGTCAGGCTTTTTCTTCCTCTTGGCAAGAGATGCTCCAGTGAGGGCCCTTTGTAATTTAGCTACATGGTGAGTTCTTTTTCATTTCTTTTGATTGGCCCATTTTGTGCTGCTTCCGTAGAGGACAGCCCAGTTTATTTGCCATGGAGGAATGCCACATTTTGCATTCAGGAACTGGGATACCCTCCTGTTGGTCCTGGCATAGGCCCCTGTGTCTGCGGTAAATCCAGCACACGCCAAAATGGCACAGCTTGGCATTCCTGCCTGTGTGACTCCCATCATTCACTTTTCTACAAACATTCATATACATTTTGTTTTGCTTTTCACAATTAAAGCTTTATTAGGGAAGTCAAAAGACTAATTTAGGTTGGGAGCAGGATATAGCCACTCATTCAGAACAGCTTCTGAAGTGTGCTTGACAGCATTGCAGCCTCCCAGCTTTAGGTCAGTGCTACAGAACTCTTAGTCCTGCCAATTTGAACATCTGTACCCCCTAGGCCCCCTAGTTAATTTTGAATTTGTTTTTGTGTATCCTGTGAAGTATGAGGCCTGTTTTAATTTCTTGTATGTAGAAATCCAATTTTCCTAACTCCCTTATTGAAGAGACTTCTTTCTGCATTGAATGGATTTTACTCCCTTGTCAAAACCAGCAGACTACAGATGTATGCAATTACTTCTGGACTGTCAATTCTATTTCATTGACATTTCTAAATATTTATGCTTTTTATCTGCAAAGAACAAACTTAAGTCACAGTAAACAAATCAAGAGTAATCCTTTAATATTAACACATTCCATCTTGGGATTTCTCTGTTCATCAAAGTGAGTCTTTTGCAGCTAGTTTGTCATTCATTTGCTACCTCTGAGGCCATGTGTGCATCTGTGAATTTTGTCCCTTAAGGCTGTTTTAATTCATAACAGTTCCTTTTGTCACAGCTGGACATTGAGAGAGCAGATCTCACCTGCACATACATGCTTCTAGAGTCTAGGGCATCCTTGTAATATCCTTGAACTTGTTCCTCAAGTCTTTTGTATTTTCCGTGATCTGAGAGTTAGATATGAAGATTTGGTTTTGTCATCCAGGCTACAGCCTAAGTGGACATCTCAGTTTGCCTCACATCAGGAAACACCTGAACCTCCAGGACAGATTAAAGATGTGACAGCTTGACGCCTTTGTTAAGTTACAGGTAGGGTGTTACCACAGTAACCAAGTCTGGGCCCATAAACCTTCACTTAACAATATTGATACTGTTTTATTCATGGTTATGAATGGTGTCTTTTTATCTCTCTTCATGCCTTTTTAATTTATTAACTGGTGTTCTGTTTAAAAGAAAAATAATGATGTTCTCCTCACTAGGGCCTGCTTGGTTCCTAGAAGAAAAGTCTCTTCTGAGAGTTGAAACAAAGGTTTATGTTTGCCCTTTCCTGAGCTGATCTACCATGTGGTGTTTTACATTCCACAGGCTCTGACTTTTGAGTATTATTACCCATTAGTTTAAGTTGTTTCTTTCAATTTTGCTTTCAGCCTGCCAAGGATTTCTTAGGTGAGAAACCAAGATGGGAGAAGCTGCTTTAGATGTTGAGGGCTGTACCACAGTGTCTGAGCCCTATGGGGAATGTGGGCTTTCTGACCACGAAGGACCCAGAACCCTTATAGAAGCTAGGCCAGTGACTTCAAGGTCAGGGGCCACTGTTCTCCCTATCCTTCATCGTCACTGACTCGTCATCTTTTATAAGACTACAAGTGGTTTCCAGAGCTGAGAGTTCACTGGAGGAATTGGTGTGTGTCTTCATACCCATTCTGAGTTCTGAACTATGTGTGTGACTAAGCCTCCTGCTTTGCTCTAGCTGATGTCCCAGCAGCACAGCCAAATTCTGCCCATTGTCAGGATTCTTGCTCTGAGCCTGGTATCTAGAATAAGGGCATAACTGAGATGTGACTGATGAATAAACCCTGTTGTAAATTTTGACTCCCCATGTCTCCCAGCTCCCTACCTCTCATTCCACAGTTGCTTTCTCTCTCTGTCTCAGACTGGAAGGTCTTAGCTCCTCATATGTCTTACCTTCCTGAGTGAGCACAGGTTCCAACAAGTACTGTTAGATTGTTGCCTGCTTTGAGCTCTCTGGGCACAAAAGGGTCGGGAGGGCTATTGGAATGCGAGAAAGGCCTCTGTTGTATGTAGAAAGCAGACATAGAAGCCAGGTCTCTTCATCCACCAAGAAGAGCCTTCAGGTTCCTGAAGAGTAAAGGTTCCTCTTTGAAGGACACTCTGGGAAGTGCCAGAGGTGGCTTTCCAAGCAGGAAAAGCATGACCAGCTAGCCTCTTGATGTACTCAGTTCTCTGGCTAAGAATGAGGAGATTTCTCTCTGCTGTAGGCCCCACTTCCACAGGGTTTCTCCAAAAGGGCTGAGACAGAATTCCTAAAGAAAATTCCTTTTTCTTTCCTAGTCCACCTTCTTGAGTTTAATGACCTCCACAGCCAGTGAAGCTGCATCCTATGAATTCACAACCCTGACATGTATCCCTGGAGTGATTGAAGTAAGTTGAGGTTTGCTAGGTATTGGAACAGAAGGGAGGGGTTTTGATTTTACAGTTCTGTTCAGGTTATTGCCAGTGGAGGGGCAGTCTCAGCACTAAGTCTTCGCCCAGAAGGCACCATCTCACTGCCGTGGCTGAGAGTTTTCATGCGTGCAGATAGGCTCTTCCTGGGATAACAGTGGGTGGGATCTCAGCAAGCATCATCCTTATCTTCCACTTTTCTCTCTGTCCTAGTATAAAGGAGCCAACATCCAGTTGCTGGATCTCCCTGGAATTATTGAAGGAGCAGCACAAGGTAGGAAAGGGAACTAGTGGAAGGAGGACAGTGTGACAAGTTAAGGACAGGCCCGAATTCAACTCTCAGGCCTCCCCCACAGTGGTCTCAGCATTGTCATAACTGGGTGTGGAGTTGAGGATTGACTAGTACGGACTATGATGCTCCTCAGTCCCACTTCTCCAGGGGCTTATGCAGTCCTGGGGGTAATCGTCTGGGGCAGGTGAGGCAGCTTCATCTTCATTCCAGAAGTGACCCACCATGGATATGGGTGTAGCTTACAGGACAGGCTTGACTTCTGCCTCCACTCTGTACTTCGAATTCTGTCATCCCTGCCTTAATGGCATAATGATACCTACCTTACAGGACTTGTGGAGGATTAAGTGGAGAAATGTTTAGGTGGGGTTTGGTTTTTTCCCCCATTCTGGGATGAGAGCCTGTTGTGACCTCTGATGACAGGGGACTGAAGTGAGTAGGAGACTTTATGAAACAGGCTCTGGTAACTTCATAGGGCTGGTTGACCGCTCACTATGGTTGCACTTGTCCAGTACCATGGATGATACTGAATATTGTCTCAGGAACTCTTCACAAGATCCCATGACCTGGAATTTTTATTAGTTCCAATTTTCAGTGTACCCTTGGGGGAAGAGATAAGGACTTACTCCACACCACACCTAAGCCCTGAAGTTGTAAAACTAGGTCTCCAGCTTTACCTCTAACTCCTAAGCTCCACTCTGGTGGCCAGTGCCCAAAACCCTTTTTCTGCTCCCTCTACACCTTCCCTCCTATTCTGGCTCAGCAAAGCAGGCCTGCCAGCTTGAGTTAAAATGGGATGGGATGGGATTTGGAGTGGTAGTGGGTCCAAGTAACCTACTTGGACTTCCTTGCCAGTAGGTAACACCAAATCTCAGGGACTTCAACCTGGTCTGACCACATGGGGAAGGTACCAGGCTTAGCATCAGCGTAGTTCTGCATTCTCAGGAGGCAGGTCCTGTTTTAAAACCACACGTTAGATTGTGCTGCAGCTCCTTCAGTCCTCAACTTGCTTTGTTACCTTGGCAAGATGCTAACTCCTTTGATCATCTGATATTAAAGGGATTTGGCTTTTGTTGTCATTCTCAGAGCGTCTCCTATGTTGTATGTGATAAGCAGAGTCTTTTTACCCCATTTCCCCAACAAAAGAGACTCAGGTTCATCCTAGAACCATGCACACTAGCATCAGTATTTTTCATCTGTGAAATGGACATAATCATACCTATCTTACAGGACTTCTGGAGGATTAAGTGGAGAAATATTTGTGAAGGACTTAGCATAGACCTGCCCCATAGCACTTTAGAAACTAGTTATTATCCTGTTTAAAGTAATGATGTTGCATTTTTGTATAAAATATATCTAATTATATATTTTACTCTGTCTAGATAAAACATTATTCAACCATTACCAATTAAACACGCGTGGAAGGAGGAGTGGCATCCACTTCCATAATAGCTTGCCTCTGGAAACCCTATGAACCTGGAGAGAGGATGAAGGCACCCAAGCGTCGAGGATTCTCCTTCATAGGGTCGCTATGAGTCGCCTGCGACTCGACGGCACTTAACAACAACAACAGATAAAACATTAAGTGGTTGGTTTGGGTTTTGGTTTGTTTTTTTTAAAAAAAAAAAAACAAAAAATGAACCAGACAAAGCTAAAAGAATCAGTCCTGGATGTCATATGCAAGGGCTATGCAAGGTCTGTAGAGGATGGGCATTTGAGGCACGAGGGCTCCATTGAGGCCAGCAGGAGGCACCATGAGCCTTGCTGTGGTAGGACCACATCCTTTTGGTCTCTTTAGGGAAAGGCCGAGGCCGGCAGGTGATTGCTGTGGCACGTACTGCTGATGTTGTCATCATGATGCTGGATGCCACCAAGGGAGAGATGCAAAGGTCAGCCGGTGGGGTGAGATGCAGGGAACTGGCCCTCACTCACACTCAGGGTGGTGGCAAGACTCAGCATAATTGATCTAAGCATCCTCTGCACGAGGCATTTCTCCCTGGGATAGAAAGGCATCTTGGAGTGGGGCTATGTGGATGCTGAACTATCTTGAACCAGGCCAGGAGCTTCTTGGCAACAACATTCTACTCTGCTTCCCCTTACCTAAAGCTCAGCTGTTCATTTCTAAATGGCTTCTTGACTTCCCAAAATACTAAGGATAGAATGCAAGAGGGAGTTGATTTCCTTCTTGGTTAGTTAGAGAGACAGTTGGGAGACCAAGATTTACTGCCCCATGTGGCAGCCAGAATGAGCCTGATTACAAAGGGCTATGATGGGATTCTGCCTAGGTCACTGCTGGAGAAGGAACTAGAGTCAGTGGGCATCCGCCTCAACAAGCACAAGCCCAACATCTACTTTAAGGTGAGGTCCCTTGGCCTGTAGGCCAGAGGTGCAGGGATGGTGGGTCAGCTCTGGCCAAAGGCTGAGGTATCTGGATCTGTGCCTCCTCCATCAGCAGCTCTCCTTCTTTTTTCCCCATTCAGCCCAAGAAAGGTGGTGGCATCTCCTTCAACTCAACGGTCACACTGACTCAGTGCTCAGAGAAGCTAGTGCAGCTCATCCTGCATGAATACAGTATCCTTCCCTGAGAGTAAACCAAAAGCTGCACAGGATTGAAAGGCTCTGCCTTTAAGGCCCAGCTCAGCTGCATTGACATCTGGAAGAGATTTGAGGATTTGGGAAACTGCCAAGGAGTGGGGTTCTTGGCCTAGAGAAGCCCTAGAGAAAGCTAGGGCTGTGTGGACACCTGTATTTATGAGGACCAGGGTTGCTTTCACATGTAAGGATCATGTGAAGCAAAGGTGAGGACTATTTTGCACAACTCTGGGGAATCATCTGAGTGAGGACAAGAGCTATGTGAAATTCTCTAGGGGAGAGTCTGAAGATGAGGCCTCCTTGACCACAGGTGGTAGTGTGGTACCAGAAGTAGAGTTGCACTTCACATACGTAGAGCCCTCAGTTGGTCATCTCGCACTAGAACACCTGGGTAGTGAATAGAATGCCTTCTGGCCAAGGTCTGAGCAGAAGCGGGGCAGGGCATAGAGGAGCTCTTCAGAAAATGGACTCCTTTTGCTGAGAATTCAGATTCTACACTAGTGCTTGGATGAGTTTAACAATTATTTTTTCCCTGCTTAGTGTTGGAGATGTAAACCATTTATTAATTGACATCTACATATCATGGCTCCCTTTGGAGGAAATAAAAAGTAGAGGTGCTGCCCAAGCTTTGTTGTTAAATGCCGTTGAGTTGCCTATGACTCACAGTGACCCTGTGATAACAGATCTGAGCCAGGTCTTATCGTGTGTCATCCTCTTTGTCTTGGACACACTTGAGTCCATTGCTGCCGTTACTGTGTCTGTCAGTCCATCTCTTTGAAGGTCTTCCTCTCTTTCACTTAGACCTCCCAAGCTTTAAAATTTTTTAAAAAGTCTTCCAAGCAGATGAACTGGAATCCTTTCTGACCAGCTTGTGGTCTGGGTTCTGTTGGCTAAGTGATCACTGCCACGAAGGTTCCCCTTAACCCTGGCTCAGAGATCTTCAATGCAGAAGTGCTTTTCCGAGAAGACTGCTCCCCAGATGAGTTCATTGATGTAATCGTGGGCAACCGTGTATACATGCCCTGCTTATATGTAAGTAGTGCCTGTACCTTGGAAGTACAGAAGTGGAAGAGTGGGCCTCAAGGAACCCCTGCTTCTTCCCTGCCCTCTGTGCCTCAGAGACTGGGTGATTTTAGACAAGTTACAGGTGGACCTAGGATTCCCCCTAGTTTCTACCTGGCCTGCCTTTGTGGGAGCTGGTAGCCTTGATCCAAGCAGGGAGGCAAAGATCTTTTGCATCAGAGCCATGGGAGACTAGGCAAGTTCATAATCCGGGAGGTGTAGACCTTTCTGGTCAGAGCCATGGGAGACTGGGTAGGTCCATAACCAGAGACGCATAGACTTCTGGCCAGAGCCTCTGAGACTGTGTGGGTCCATAACCAGGGAGGCATAGACCTTTCTGGTCAAAGCTGTAGGAGACTGGATAGGTCCATAACCAGGGATGCATAGATCTTCCTCGTCAGGGCTGTGGTAGACTCGGCAAGTCCATAACCAGGGAGACATGGACCTTTCTGGTCAGAGCCATGGGAGACCGGGCAGGTCCATAACTAGGGAAGATAGACCTTTCTGGTCAGAGTCGTAGGAGACTGGGCAGGTTCATAGCCACTGAGGAGGTGCTCTTTGAGTTTTATCACTTTCTTTCCCCTAACACCCAACATCTGCCTTTTAAAACCCAGGTGTACAACAAAATTGACCAGATCTCCATGGAGGAAGTAGACCGCCTGGCCCGGAAGCCCAACAGTGTGGTCATCAGGTGAGTCATAGTGCTTGGTTCTAACTACCCCACTTGGTCCCATGTTGTCAAGGCTGAGTTATCAGGGTGGGCTGAATGATTGCTGGTAACTTGGGTTTCATCAATGATTTTAAGTTGGCCCAGAGGCTCAATAGTCTAGAACCTATCCACAGCCCTCAGCAAGGCTCAGGACATGCAGAGTCTCCTGACATCTGCCTGGCCACAGCTCAGAGAAGAAAGTGATATTCAAGGATGAGGGGCTCCTCCCAGGCTTCTCTTTTAGGGTGCACGTCTCCCTGTGCTAGCTCACGCAGGAACTCTGCAGCTTTTTTATTATTATTAATTTCAATGAAAATTTACAGAGACTTTGGATTTCCATTCATTCATTGTTGCACTTTTCTCCCTGCCCACCCCTCCCCCCAGTACACTCTTCTCTTTGAAAAGAAAAGGAAAAATTCTTTCATTGTTATACAATCCCTCCCCCCAGGTCCACTCCACTATGCAGCCTTCGTTCTGGACTCCTGTCATGACAAAAATAACTAATCACATATCCATTTTAAACCATTTTCTCCCTCATCTGTTTCAATGCAGTGTACATTATTGAACTCATCTTTCTCAGTCTCCCCAACCCTGAGGTCAGGCTTGTTTTATACAGTGGCATCATGCAGTATTTGCCTTTTGTGGCTATTTCTCTCAACATAATGTCCTCCAGGGTCACCCATTTTGTATAAGATTTCATGAGTTCCTTGTTTTCAGTGCAGCACAGTATTCCATTGAGTGAACATACCACAGCTTCTCTATCCGTTCATTTGTTGATGGGCACTTGGGTTGTTTCCAACTCCTTGCGATTGTGAACAAAGCCACAATAAACATGGGTGTGCATATATCTGCTTGGGTGGCAGTTATGGTATCTTTGGGGTATATTCTCATTAGTGGAATTGCTGGGTCAAATGGTATCTCTATTTGCAACTTTTTTTTTCTTTAAAAAAGATTATTTTATTGTTGCAGAATTTCCTCCCTACCTCCCCAACCCCAATCCACTTTGCTATGCACCTCTGGACTGTTGTCATGCAAATAATGCCTAATAGTATATTCCTTATAAACAGTTATTTCCCTCATCTGTTTCAATGCAGTGTACATTATTTCTCTACTCTTAGTTTCTCCCCAACCCCGATGTCAGTCCTGTTTTATAACAGTAGCATTATGCAGTATTTGTCCTTTGGTGCCTGAGATATTTCACTAAGCATAATGTCCTCTAGGGTCACTCATTTTGTATAATATTTTATAAGTTCCTTGTTTTCAGTGTTGTGTAGTATTCCATTGTGTGAATATATCACAGCTTCTCTATCCATTCATTGTTGATGGGCACTTTGGTTGCTTCCATCTCTTTGCTCTTGTAAACAATGCAGCAATAAACATAGGTGTGCATATATCTCCTTGGGCAGCAGTTCTGGTATCTTTAGGCCATATTCCCAGTAGTGGAATTGTAAGGTCAAATGATATTTCTATTTCCAGCTTCGTCAGAAAGTGCAAAACTGCCTTCCATCATGGTTGCACCATTTTACACTCCCACAGCGGTGAATAAGGTTCCAATCTCTCCACAACCTCACCAACATTTGTTGTTTGCTGCTCTGCTGAAATTTGCTATTGTTGCTGGAGTGACATGATATCTCTTAGTTGTTTTGATTTATATCTGTCTGAAAGCTAGGAATTTTGAACAGCTCTTCATTTGTTTGACATCTGAATGTTATTTGCAACTTTTTGAGAAAGCGCCACACCACCTTCCACAGTGGTTGCACCATTTTACACTCCCACCAACAGTGAGTAAGGGTTCCAGTTTCTCCACAACCTCACCAGCATTTGTTGCTTGCTGTTCTGTTAAATTTTGCTATTCTGACTGGGGTGAGATGTTATCTCATAGTTGTATTGGTTTGCATCTCTCTTAGAGCTAGGGATTTTGAACATTTGTTCATGTCCTTGTTGGCTATCTGAATGTCTTCTTTGGTGAAGTGTCTGTTCATATCTTGTGCTCATTTTTTTATTGGATTATTTACCTTTATCTTGTTGTGGTGCTCAAGTATTTTATAAATTCTAGATACAAGTCCCTTATCTGACGTGTCATTACCAATACTTTTTCTTAGTCTGTGGCTTCCCTTTTTACCCTGTTGGAGACGTTTTTGGATGTGCATAGGGATTTGATTCTTAGAAGGTCCCATTCATCTATTTTCTCTTTTCCTGGTTGTAGGTTTTTCAGGATGCTTGGAAGAATCTTTATGTTCTGGATTAGAACTTCTAGATTTCTTCCAAGCTTTTTTTTAATGAAGTTTATAGTCCTTGGTTTTAGTCCTAGGTCCATGATCCACATTAATTTATTTTTTGTATATGGAGTGAGGTGTGGATCTTGCTTGAGTTTTCTGCAGATAGTTCTCCAATTTTGCCAACACCATTTGTTAAAAAGGCTGTCTTTTCCCCACTTAACTGATTTCATCTCATAAAAAATCAGTTGACCATAGGAAGTTGGGCTGATTTCCGGGTTCTCAATTCTATTCCATTGATCTATGTGTCTATCATTGTCCCAGTACCATGCTGTCTTAACCGCCACGACAGTGTAGTAGGATTTGAAATCAGGGAGTGAGATGCCTTCTACCTTTTTTCTATTTTTAAGGAGTGCTTTGCTTATTCAGGGCTTCTTTCCATTCCAAATGAAACTGGAGATTGTCTTTTCCATCTCGTTGAGGAATGGGATTGGTATTTGTATTAGGATTGCATTGAACGTGTAAATTGCCTTTGGTAGTATTGCCATTTTCACAATATTGAGTCTTCCTATCCATGAGCAAGGGATATTCTTCCACTTCTCCATGCCTCTTTTTGTTTCTTGTAGTTTTTCTTTGCATAGATCCTTTGTGCTTCTGGTTAGATTTACCCCCAAGTATTTAATCTTATGATTAGCTATTGTGAAGGGTATTGTTTTTCTTACCTTCTGCTCTGTATTCTCTTTATCACTGTAGAGAAATCCAACTGATTTTTGTATGTTGATCTTGTATCCTGCTGCTTTGCTGAATTGGCCAACTATGTCCAATAGTTTTCTTGCTGAGTTTAGGGTTTTCTAAGTATACTATCACATCATCTGCATAGAGAGGTAATTTTACCTTCTCTTTGCCAATTTGGATACCTCTCACTTCCTTCTTTTGTCTTATTGCTATTGCTAAGACTTCCAATACAATATTGAATAAGAGAGGTGATAGTGGATATCCTTGCCTAGTTCCTGTTCTTAAAGGGAATGCCTTTAACCTCTCTCCACTGAGAACAATGTTGGCTCTCGGATTTTCATAAATACTTTTTACTATGTTGAAGAAATTCCCCTCTAATTCTATTTTGTTGGGTGTTTTAATCAGGAGAGGGTGTTGGACTTTGCAGCTTTTATGTGAGCTGTGCTGACAGAAGCCAGATGCTTGAGCCCAGATGCTGATGCAGGTTCCAGAACTGAATTAGGGAATGCTCTGGCAGTTAGTGTTGTGCCAAGAGCAGCATTCATCCTACTGGCAGCCTCAGCCCCCATTCTCCTGCATCCTAGGCCTGATAGACTCCTGCAGGGCTGCCAGAGGATACAAGCATCCTGCATTGAGCCACTATCCTATCCCCTGACCTTGCTCTGCTCACCACTGCCTTGCAGAGGGATGGCCTGCTCAGGATCCTGACTGTAATGGTCAAGGCTGGCCCATTGGATCTGGCTGCCCTCCAGAGGTGAGCTCCTCTGTACTGCACTGACATCCCTACTGGGTTGCTCAGGATCCTCCAGAGACCATCTCTTTCTGAGGACTGAGCTTTGGACTGCAGTGTTCCCTCCAAGCACAGTGCCTACCACAACCCCACCAGGTGCCACCATTCAGATACATAGTGTCGGTCCCAGAGCAGACCCTACTCTTAGCCTCACTGGAACGCTAGGAGAGCTGAGTGGCCTCGGAGGTCTGGTGGTGTCAGCAGAGGCATTGAACTGCTTACCCATGGTGCCATCTAGGCCACTGCCTTGGGCCCCATGCCACAGATGGCAGTTCATCCTCCAGCCTCTGGCTCATCCACCTGACCAAAGGTCCTCTCCTTGCAGCTGTGGGATGAAGCTGAACCTCGACTACTTGCTGGAGATGCTTTGGGAGTACTTGGCCCTGACCTGCATTTACACCAAGAAGAGAGGACGTGAGTCAGGAGGCCAGAGGCCTGGGCTCTTGCACGCAGCACCCAAGGACCCAACCCCAGACTCAAGTCCTTCTAGCAAGGAATGCTGGTCATTAGGGCACATGGATTAGGGAGCACAGAAAGTGATTGATAGAGGTTTGCCCTGAGTTCTCTGTAAGGAAACCATAACCTTGTGGCTCCCTCCCCAGAAGCAGACAGCTGAGTATACAGTAACTCATTTTCTTGCCTCATATCTGCCTCAAAGCTCTTCACTTTCTTTGAGCTGTACCCTTCCCTGTTCCCCTCTGCATATACTCCCATTCTGGGTGCAGTTGGAGTGGTGGTGGCTGAATATGAGCATACTGCACCAGGAGCAAGGCAAAAAAGACACCATCTCCAGTTAGAGCAGCTGCTGGCAATCCAGGTTTTCTAATGTATGGTTGCTAAGCTGCCAGCAGATTAATGCCTGGGTTTGGTTCCTTTGGAAGTCAAGGTCGTAGGAGCTGTTAAAGGAGTCTGTCCCAAGGGTATCCTGAATAGGACTGAGGGATAGGGAGGGGAGGGTTGACTTGAGGCTTGGAAGGAGACCTTTGGGGGACCAGAAGGGCATCTACACCTTCATGGCCATTTACAAAGCTGCCCAGAATCAGGTCACACAGTTGACTCTCTTCTCTGATCTCCACCTGCACAGAGAGACCAGACTTTACCGATGCTATCATCCTCCGGAAAGGGGCTTCTGTGGAGCATGTGGTGAGTTAGCCGGTCTTGGGACTCTGATCTCCAACTGAGGGGTGAACTCATCTCAGCTGGTCATTAGATGGACCCCACTAGATTGGCAAGGTGGCTGAGGGCTGGCTCTTGAACTGGGCAAGTCTACCTACATGTCTGAGCCCCAGTGTCCTCTCTTATAAATGAGGATATTGCTGCTTCCTTTAATAGTGACCTCACCTATAAAAGACTCATGAGTGTAGTCCCTGTGCAACAGAGAGACTGCTTCAGGGCTTGGTGAGAAGACCTATGGACTCAAAAACAGGCATGCCTTCCATTTTTCAGAGAAGTCTATTGTCTCTTAGTCTTGAAAAATGCGCCCCTCCCCATCCCCCATTGCCATAACTGTGACTATTGAGTATTCTCTCCCACTAGAACAGTGTGGTATGCTTGGTGGTAAATGAATCCTACTGATAACTCTCTGCCCTTAATGTTAGAAGCTTTTAGTTTCCAGAAAAACTGGAAACAGTGGCTTTGTGTTCTCCTGCTCTTTAACCATTAGCAGTGAATTTGTTTAGTTAAGGAGCTCGGTGACCTAATGGATAAGGAGTTAATACTGCCAACCCAAAAGTAGACAATTTGAATTTACCAGCTGCTCCAATGGAGAGATCTGGGCAGTGTTATCTTGTGTGGTTTATGGACTCAAAACCTGCTGGAGGGTCAGCTAAGTTGATTGGCAGTGAGTTTGTTGTTATTTTAATGTTGGGCAAATGGAATAGAACTTCAAATCCATTTTCAGACTACAACCAACCTCTGAACCATCGTTTTTTATTCTGTGATATAAGTAGAGATTAGTGCTGGACTTCGGAGCATCTCTGCTGACTCCTGGCCTCCTCTTCTTAGAGCTCAGTGTCTGTGGTTTCATGGAGATTGCAAGTCACATTGACTTTCCATGTGTTCTCAGGAAATTTTTCTGCAGTCCTGGTACCTGTCTCCTGCCTCATGGAGACTAGGCTAAGGCATTGTGCTCTGACTCGAGGGCATGTTCTATCCAGTGCCTATAACATGTATGAGCACGTGGTCGGAAAGCCAGGCCACACCGTTCACTTCCCCCAGCACTTCTCCTCATCACCATGACAGGCAGGAACAGAGTTGGCTGCTCCTCCAAGGTCTCCTCTGACTTCCTGAGACTTGGGATTCCTGGACCCTTAACCCCCTAGGAGTGTCAGGTGTGCTGGCTATCCTGGGGGCAGGGAGTAGGTAGTATGATGTCAGGAGGTGCCAGATCACAACTGCAGCCAGGAGGGCGGAGACATGAGCTAGCAGAGGTAGGGTGATCTGAAAAGCTATCCTTAACCATTCAAGAATTTTGTGAAGGTAGTTGGAAGATGGGGAGGACAGAGGGGCCATTAATAGCCAGTACCCTGATCACACTCTCATGGGCTATAGAACATTCTTAACTGGGCACTCTACTCCCAGGAATACCTGAAAATGGAGCCAACTATAGCCCTAGATAAGGCTTGTCTGACCTTGTAGATATGGCATGCCTTGACCTGGGAGCTAGGCTTGGGCTTACCCACCCACCATTCAGCAACCTGTTTAAGAACCTGTCTAGTGAATTAGTAGGCTTAGCATGTTACCAGGTCTTCAGGCCTACAGTCACAGTTGGTTCTGAGCAAAGCTGCATCTCTGTCTTAACTTCCTCTGTCTTAACTTCCTGTTCACCAGTGCCATCGGATCCACCGGTCACTGGCCAGCCAGTTCAAATATGCCCTGGTGTGGGTAAGTCTCTGAGTGGGGAAATGAAGCGGGAGGTGTCACACCCAACATCTAGGTCCTGCAGGGAGCAAAGTGGTGGGGCATAATAATTAACAAAATTCCCCAGATGATACTTTATTACTAGGAATAAGGCTTTATACTGCCCTTGCCTCCCACCCACATCCAATTTGAGATATGCTAATTTGAGCCTTCATCAAACACATACACATTCACTTCCTCAAGTAATAACTTTCCTAGTGGTCTGTCCTTCAGAAGTGGCAGATCCATGTGGCCCCTTTACCCAGGGTTCCTTCCCTCATGGTCTCCCTCTTGCCTCATTCCCAGGGTACCAGCACCAAGTACAGCCCACAGCGGGTGGGACTGACCCACACCATGGAACATGAGGATGTCATCCAAATCGTCAAGAAGTAAAGGAGCTTCCATCCTTCACATCTCCCTAGGAAGTCAGACCACTGGGACACATGAGACCGCAAACAGGAAAATGTAAACACATGAGTCTTGACTATTTCCAGAAGATTCTTTACTAGGCAGCTGACGATATTGGGACAGAAAGAAAATTCTTGAGGCTTTGGGACCTGCCCCAGCTTTTCTTGAGGCTGATGCTGGAATGTGGTTCTGAGTTGGAGCCCTGGGCCTGCCCCCACTCCATGTCCCCTTTGGGTACTGATGGAGCAAGTTGCCTGCTTGACTCTGAGTGCCTAGAGCCACCTCATTCCTCTGCTCCTGGCATTAAGGTATGAGGCCATCCTTGAATCAGATTACTTATGTTTTCCCACCACCCCAGGATTGTCCTAGGGTGGAACTACAGCAAGTCAGTGATTTTGAAGATCCCATGCTGAGGGGTGTCCTGAAGTGCCTCCTCTCAGGTTCCCCAGGGCAGCCCTTATCCAGCAAAAAGATCTTGTTCCTAGCCCTGAATACTAGGCTGTCAAATGTGGTATCTGTGTTTGCCTCCAATATCAGCTTCTTTCTGAAATAAAAGATGTCAGGTTCCTGTTCTTACTTTGGGAAAGCTAGTCCTTTTGTAGATTTAAAAACTTACTACTGGGCTGGGGTATGGGGAGCATCGATGAGCCAACGGATCAACGTGGGTGTAGTCTGGCCCATGGAGGGCAGCCCTGGGACTGGTAGGAGAATGTGGAGCTATTCATCAGGGACTGGTTTACAAAAGGACCCAAGACCAGGCCTGGCTGTAGAGTAAGCTTCACCTAAGAAAGCCAGCACCTCCATGAGGTCAGGCCCAGCTGTAGTAGTGGACAGCATCTCAGAATTGCATTTCCAGCCCCTGGTGGTAGCTGGCATGGACGGAACTAGCACAGCCTGAGTTCCTAGTGAGACCTTACTGCAGGCTCAGAGCCATGCTGGGGTACTTCACAACGGGTAGTACTGAGCCAGAACTTGGACTTGAGTGACAAGGCAGACTTTCTGCAGGAAGCAGTCCTTTTTTTAGGGGCAAGGGCTGCCAGGTCTTGGGTATCTAGAGGGAAAGAGAACTTCTCAGAGTTCCCAGGCCAGGCATAGACTAAAGCCTGGCTATCCCACCTATTTCCAGCTCCCCTATCAGCTGTTCAGGCTCCTTTCCAGAGATAAAACAGGAATAATAGACATCATTAAATATACATGGGGCCCCAGGCAGTTAGTGTGGTGAGCTGGGCCATCTTTTGCGAAACACTGAGCTGCTTCTGCTGGGCTGATGTCCTGGGGCCATTCCACAGGCTTCCATTAGCGGCATGCAGGCTGGGAACAGGCCTCAAGAGCCAGGTAAGGGCAGCCTAGCTTTTTCCACTGGCCTGCCTCGGTCCCGTGGAGAAAAGGGAAGGGTATGGTGTCAAGAGTGAGGCCCTACTCCTACTTTTCTGTGTTTTAGTTTCTTTAGAAATGGGCCCAAGCAGTCCTGCTGGGGACCAGTGCCAAAATAGGTAAATGCATGGTGGCTTCCTTGGCTCCTCTCCTGTTTCCCTCCAGAGCCTGGCCAGAAGAGGTTCCTAAAGGGACTATAACTCCCACTTCTTGCCTTACAGGTAGAGCCTTAGGAACCAGCACCATTGGAAGGCCTTGGGTTGACCCACACTAGGTTGGCTGAGACCTAAGGTCCACCTCTGGATGTACCTACTTGGATTTCCCCCCGGCCTGCATGTGAGAGTGCTGCCTGAATCCTTGTGAGGCCAAGGTGCCCTTTGGTCGGGAGAGGTGCTGGAAGAACCTCAGGGCTGGAGAATTCCCTTTAAAGGGGGATAGGCCCCAACCTTCAAGGAAAACTCAGGCTCAAGCTTTTCCCCAGTTGGCTCTTCTGGTCGTTCACTCATACTGGGCCTCTTAACCTTTCTGAAGTGAGGCTAAGCCTGGTTGACCAAAAGTCCCTTTCGGCCCCTGCAGCATGGCGGTATACCACCACTCTCTTCTCAGTCACTGGGGACTTCAGGCTGCCAGGCTCTGCTGAGCCCAAACTGGCTGGTTCTAACTTCTCCCTGCCCCAGCTCTAGCCTCCTCCTTCCTAGACTGTATTCACTCAGGTAGAACCACCGCTGATACTGATGGGCTTAAGAACAGCAAAGGAGCCAGAGGTGTGTTGCTGCTTTCCATGCTTTTCCACATCCCTCTCCAGTTAGATTCCATAATACCTCATCTCAAAAACCCTAAACTTAACAGTGCTAACTAATCCTTTGACCTAGACTCCAGCCTCACCCCACCTTGCCGTTCTTCCTGCCTTTGCCTTCTCAAGCCCCACATTTCCCACACCTTCCCTTGTCCCTTTGGCAAGGCTTCATGAAACTGCTTCAGTACCCCACTTCCTTCTTCATGATGGAGTCTGTCATGGCCCCTGTACCTCCTTGGGGCTAAGCTCTTCACAAGTGAATCCACCAAGCTCTTGTTCCCTGGGTCTGTTGACAAAGTGTCTCCCATTTAAAAAAAACAAAAACCAAACTAAAAGCTACTAACCATCATCATTTCTGGCCATCTCCTCTCCATGGTCAGTTCTCAGGATGTGCTATGCTTGACTCAGTCTCACATTCCCTTTCCATCTCCAACAGACCCATATTCTCTGCTAAGGTCTATCTTCCCTCCCCACCCCACCCCCAATCTATATTGTTAATCTGTAACTGCTTGGACACAGGGCTTGCTCCTGAGATGCCCTTGCCCCTGGCTTCTTCCTTTCTACCTCCTCATCTAGTCATAAAAAGCAGGGTCCTTTGGACCTTGGTTACCTGTGCTCCAGCCTCCCATGCTTACCACCTCTGATCCCTCACAACTGTGACCTTGCCTCTCTTCTAAATTTCAAACCTTTAGGTTTTAAACCCTTGAATCTGCACAGTCTACCATGTTTATTTTAACTGTATTAATCCTGTTTCTACCCTCAAACTTACCAGCAACTTGCTGGTCCTTCCATTTTATCCTGTGTCTGTTCCACTCTGCCAAAGCAGTTCTAGCCTAGTCTAACTCCTGCCATCTTTTCCTACTTCCATTCTGTATCCTTTCCCAGTTCTCTATGTAGTAGCTCAAGAAAGCTTTGTGAGATAACCTGATAGAACTCAGCTTTCTCATTTGTAAGATGGGACTACTAAGGGTGCACTTTTCCTAGGACTATAGTGAGGTTGAAGGGTACAGTCCAGGCTAGTAGTTTATTTTTTATTATTTTAGTGTGTGTGTGTGTGTGTGTGTGTACTGTCAAATCAGATCTGACTGGTACAGGAGGAGATTGTCCCTCCTTTCCTGGCATAGCATCTGGTGGATTTGAACCGTGCGCCTCAGGCTAGTAGTTGTGAACACAGTATCAACAGTTGGAATGTGCTCTTATGTCCTCATGATAGGACCTCTGGCCTAGAATGTATGAACCAACCTACAGTAGAGCCTTTACCTGTAAAATGAGGTAACTGTCCCTCTTAGATCTTTGAATACAAGGAGAAAGCACAGGAGAGCACTTGGCACTAACCCAGGTATGTATACTTGTTGATATGTTATTATTTTCAAAGCACAAATCTAGTCCAGAGCAGCTGCCTGCCTCAACCCTTAAGTGGCCCCCACTCCTTGAAGGACCAAACTTATCCCAGCCTTTCTGGTCTCTATAAGCCCTGCTACTAGCCTAACCCATACATCTTTCTTTTAGTTGCATTATCACTTTGCTTTTGTATGTGCTGTTCCATCTGTGTGGAGCACTATTCCAACTTTCATCTGATTCACTTTCTCCTCTCCAGGTTTCCCTCATCAAGGAAGCCTTCCTAACTGGCCACCTGTGTAGCCCCTCATAATGGTAGTTTTCCTGTTGATTAAAAGTTCCTTTCCCCTGTAACTTTGGGAGTAGTTCTGTTTCTGACCCTCCACTAGTGACTACACAATAAGCACAAAGCCTCTGGAGGTATGAATGATAAACTTGTTCTCAGACATCCATTTTATGCCCACCACAGAGGTTGGGAACCCTGAAGGGAAGGCAGGAACCTGGATGACTGCTCAGTGGCACTGCCTCCAAAGCTTGACCAGAAGCAGTCATTTTGCTGCCTGAGGATGCTTACCAAGTTGTCTTACTAGGTCATTCAGTCTGGGGGCTTACATAATTGAAGGCTTTCCAGGTCAGCACTCATCCTCACATTGGAATCCGGCTCCAGGCCCTCGCCTCCAGCCTTGTGAGCCTTCCTGAGGTTAGTCGTTGCCCCTGTGCCTGTACTTTAGGGCAAAGAGATGTGAGGCTGACAGCCCAGAGGCCATGGACCCCTGCTGTGCTGTGGACTTTGAATCAGAGGGTCTGGCCTTGTCCCCTGTCTATGGAAGTGGAGGGATTTTGCCTCTTTAAACCAGTGTCCCTGAAAGGAAGCTGGGGAGGGCAGAATTGAGGCCTTCTAGGGGAAGAGGCCCACTAAAGGGGTGTTTCTACTCATACTCTTTATTTCCCAGTTTCTCTCTTCTTTTTTAAAATGTTACTTTTGTTAGTGTTAATCAGCCCTGCTCTCCCTAATGCATTATTTATGCTCCATGAGCCATCCAACTCCAGTTACACTGACCCAAAGCCCTGGTAACCACCGTGTCCACTCTATTCTCCCATCACCCAAGGTTTAGGGTCTGACCCTCCAAACCCACTGTCACACAGGCAAAAGCCTAGGGTCTCCCTTCTGGACCAGGTCAGATATGCTAGCTGGCTTCCCTTCACTGGCTCTCAATGTAATGGCTGTGAGATGACATTGATAAAGTTATTCAGTGTACTTGGGCCAGTTCGTGCCCATGAAAGAGTGAGTAGTACATGCAACAGTGAATGAATGGAAATTTTAAGAAAAGTGAGTACAAAGGAGGGCTTCATATGTGAGCCCTAGCTGTTGCTGTGGCTCCAAAGCTAGGACATGTCCCCCAGAAGGCTCAGCCAGGCTTCCTATGGGTAAACCACACCAGAAGGCTCAGCCAGGCTTCCTATGGGTAAACCACACCAGCACACTTTCCACTGTGGCTTGAAGGTGAAACCTAAGAGCATGTTGGGAGGAGATGAATTATGAATTCCCCCCGAGAATTTTGGCCCCAGCCAGGCCGGCCACACCATCCTGACAGTCCCAGCTGCTCTCTGCCGGAGGTCAGTCCAGGCTGCTTTGTGTGGAAGGCCTGCCCAGCTGTGGATTGGCCTCTGCACCCCTAAGCCCGAGTCTGTAACCCCAGTTCCAGGCCTGTGGGGAGCAAGCAATCACAATGGCGAAGGATGAAGAAGATGAGAAGAAAGCCAAGAAAAAGAAGGGAAAGAAGGCTCCGGAGCCAGAGAAACCAAAACGGAGCCTAAAAGGGACATCCCGGTTGTTCATGGGCTTCCGAGACCGCACACCCAAGATCTCCAAGAAGGGCCAGTTCCGGAGTGCCTCGGCCTTCTTCTGGGGGCTCCACACAGGCCCGCAGAAGACCAAACGCAAAAAGAAGGCTAGGACTGTGCTCAAATCAACATCGAAGCTCATGACACAGATGCGGATGGGCAAGAAGAAGCGCGCTATGAAGGGCAAGAAGCCATCCTTCATGGTGATTCGCTTCCCAGGGCGCCGAGGCTATGGCCGGCTGCGGCCACGTGCTCAGTCGCTCAGCAAGGCCTCTACGGCGATCAACTGGCTCACCAAGAGGTTCCTCATCAAGAAGGCAGAGGCTTTGGGCAGCGAGCAGGCCACACTGGACGCCTGGCTCAACCGCTCAGACTCCCGGGGTTCACACAAGCTGCCCTTCCCGTCGGGCGCCGAGATCCTCCGCCACGGTGGCCGCCTGCGCCGCTTCCCGCGGAGCCACAGCATCTACGCGGCGGGCGAGCCAGTGGGCTTCCTGCCTTTCGAGGATGAGGCCCCGTTCAGGCCTTCGGGATCGCGCAGGTCGCTGTATGGGCTCGAGGGCTTCCAGGACCTGGGCGAGTACTACGACTACTACCGTGAGGGCGACGACTACTACGACCAGCAGTCTCTCTACCAGTACGAGGAGCAGGAACCCTATCTGACCCCCTACAGCCCTGCCTGGCCACCTTACAGCGGTGACCCCTACTATGGGGTCGACCCCTACTATGGGTACCCACCAGAGATAGCCTACGATCACCCTGATGACTATTATGGGCGCGCCTACCCGCCCTACGCATATGGCTATGATGACTACGACCCTCCCTACGCACCCCCGTCTGGGTACGCGGACCCCTACAGCTACTACGATGCTTACGAGGCCGAGGCTCACCCCTACAGCCACTGGGGGGACTCCTACCCCTACTACGACATGGCCTACCTGCCCTATCGCCTTCCTTACAACGGGTCCCACTGGGGTTCCTACAGTGCTCCCTACACCGACGGCATCTACAGGGCTGGGGCCCAGGCCATTTATCCCCCTGAGGCCGCCTACTTGTACCCAGAGGAGTCGGTCTTCATGTACCCATGGGTGCCACCTCCTGTCCCATCGCCCCACAACCCGTACGCCCACCCCATGGACGACATCGCCGAGCTGGAGGAGCCTGAGCTGGATGCCGAGCGGCAGAGCACCTCCTTCCGCTTACCGAGCGCTACCTTCTTCGAGCAGCAAGGAATGGACAAGCCGGCCAGATCCAAGCTGTCCCTCATCAGGAAGTTCCGCCTCTTCCCGCGGCCGCAGGTGAAGCTGTTTGGAAAGGAGAAGTTGGAGGTGCCCCTCCCGCCCTCCTTGGATATTCCCCTGCCCCTGGAGGATGGAGATGAGGAGGAGGATGAGCATTCGGTAAGCCCTGGGCACTATGGCCAGTTCTTCTGGGATCTCCTCCCGCCGCGCCAGCGCAGCCTCCAGCGTGCCCTGTCGGCCTTCGAGACCCGCCGCGACCTAGGCTTCAGGTCCAACTTTGCACAGCCCCCGGGCCAGCCGGCCACCTCGCTGGCCCGCTTTCTCAAGAAGACGTTGTCCGAGAAGAAACCCATCCCGCGGCTATGGGGCAATGACAAGGGGACGCCGGCCGTTCGGGAGGCGGCCTACAAGCGCTTTGGCTACAAACTGGCAGGCATGGACCCCGAGCGTCCCGGCACGCCCATCACCCTGCGGCGCCTGCAGCCGCGCGCTCTCAACAACAACTCGTGCGCCGCGCGCTCGCCGTCGCCCGTTGGCCCACTGCCGCCTGCCTCGCCGCCGCCCCTCGGTCGGCTCCCGCCCGCCTCGCTGCGGGGCTCGCTGCGCCGTCCCCCGCCACCCTGGGCGGCTCCTGCTCACGTGCCGTTGGCCCCGCACACTGCGTGGTGGGGCTTCGTGGAGCCGCTGCCTGTGCGTCCAGAGGAAGGGGCAGACGCTCTGGCCTTCTGGCGCCAGCCCTCTCTCAGAGGGTCCCGCCAGCGATGCCCAGCCTTCAGTTTCGCGGGCCGCTCGCCACAGACCTCACGTCGGCTGGGTTGGTCGCCGCAGCCCTCCCTGCGGAGCCTGCCGGGACCCAGTTTCCGTTCGGCCCAGGGCCCGTGGTCACCTCAGCCCTCCATCCGCTCCAGCCCCTTTCAGCGGCCCTTCTCACCCCCGCCACCCCGGCCTCACTCGCTTCGGGAGCCGCTAATCCCGCGCCCCAGGTCCAGGCGGCTAGGCCAGCCCTGCTCCCCAGCCCTGAGCTCACCCAGGCAGCCCCTGAGGACTATCAGCCAGAGGCTGCCTGTGCCCGTGCCTCGGTGGGGCCCCAGCCTCAGGTACCACTCTTTGAATATGCCTTCACGCCTCTCACGCTCCTGGAAACGACTCAGTGAGCAGCCTGTTCGGGCCGTGAAGCCCCAGATGCACCCATCCTTTCAGCCTACCTTTGAGTGTCAGGACCCAGAAGAAAATGACTCTGAGACACCGTGGACAGTGCCACCTCTGGCCCCTAGCTGGGACCAATACATGACTCCTGTCCAGCGTCCATCCTCCCCACGGCCTAGAGGTTTCAGCAGAGTTAATGGTTTACCCAGGCCACCTCTTGTGCCAGAAAACCCCTTTCTGGAGCATGGGAACCCTGTGTCATCTTCTACAACCCAGGCCAGGGTCCTAGCCTCTGACCCAGTCAGTGTCCAGGGCAGACACTGTGAACCAGGGCCTGGACAGCTCCTCAGATCTTCAGGCCTGAGGCCAGAGAAGCAAGAAGAGGCCACCATAGTAGATTCCCAGACTCCAACCAAGCCTGAACTTCCAACTCCAAGACCCTCCAAAGATCTCATCCCAGAGCATAAGGCCCTACGCCGCAGCCTCTCCCATCCTTTAGCTGCGTGTGACCAGAGGAGGGCCATATGGCCACCATGGCGACGTTGGATGACGGTGCCCAGAGCCCCACCCGCTTTAGTACCCACTGGGACACCAGGGTCCCTGTTTGAGAGGGACAGGCATCTCCAGGCTGAGCCTAAACGTTGTGCAGTGGTCATGCCTCAGGTGCTAGAGCTGAGCTTCCAGCAAGTAGGTCCTGCCACCCTCCAGCTCCCTGTCCATCAGATCCAGGACCCCCAGCCCAGTCTAGAACCAAGAAATATGAGTCTGCGCTTAACTCAGCCCTGGCAGCCAGCAGAGGCCCGCCAACTTTGGCCAACGGTGCACACATGCCCTCCATCCCGACGATTGGGCCCAGGAGTTACCTGCTTGCCCCAGAGAGGCCCTTGTGAAGAGTTTGGGCCCCAGAATGGGCAGAATAAGGTATGAAGTACAGTCAGAGGGAAGTCTTGGGGGCTCCCACCTGGGAAACGGGGCACAGAACAGCCCCCAGGAGATCCTGGTTTTTCCCTAATTGGGCTTCAGTGTATGTATCTGTATCTCTGAGAGAATAGCCTTGACCTTGAACCACTGGAGGGGTGAACAAGGGAATGTCCTGCACAAAATGGAGATGCAGAAACACCTCCCCGGCCCTCTTTAGGAAGGGATCTGGCCTGAGTCTAGCCTGGGACGCAGATGGAAAGTGTTCCTGTTATTGCAGCCCTGCTTTGGCCAGCTTCCCCTTTGAGATCATCACGGGCCTCCCATTGATCTCCCCTAAACTGGTCTCCTTCTCCTCAGGGTTCTGGTTTTAAGTGGTAACACACTTCCCTTCAGAGCCTGCTGGGCTGTAGGGTTCTGAAATAATGGTAAGGGGCTCATTCTGTAGGGGGGAAAACAAGGTCCTGAAGGCTGATTTCTTGGCCTCCCAGTGGGATGCAGAGCAAGACAACATGCCTGAAGAGTGCCCAGCTGAGCCTGGCTGCTGTGTTCCAGTCAGACTGAGAGCCCAGCCCTGGGCCATTCTTGAGAGAGGGCAAATGTTACTGGAGCCTCTCCTGGGACGGAGTGGGCGGGGCGAGTTAGGGCGGTAGATGCTTTCACCTGTACAGACAGACTTTCTGGAGGAGCAAGCAGCTGGCCGGGCTCAGCAATGGCTACAGGGGCAGCCTGGCTGTTGGGGGGACCTCGTCCCCAGCGGCGAGTGCCTCGCACTGTGTGGGCTGCAGCATTGCAAGAGCGGGCCACAGGGCATCTAGGGCTGAGGGGCAAGAATGCCTGGGCCCTCCTAACTCTGGAATACGTGAGTGGCTGAATTATTTAGGGTCTGACTGCTGGCGAGCACATGAGTAGATGGGTGGGCAGGAGGCCAGAGCCTCCAGGGTGATAACATTGTAAGATGGCCTGCTTAGTGGCCCAGTGGCTGACACAGCTGCCCTCAGGGCTCACTTCTGGTATCCTTGTATCTCCTTTCCTTGACTTCTCAGGCCGAGGTGGCTGAAAATGCTGAGGGCACCATATTTGTGCTCACAGTTAGACAGATGAACTGCAAATAGAGGTCATGGTTGGTTGTCCACAGTCAACATGTATTTTTACATATGTGGCCCATTAGATGGACACACAGGAAATTTTGCATCCTGTTGAAATTTTTTAAACCCACAAGTGGGGTGGCTTGCCAGCAACCCTAGTGTAGGCAACACTAGCTGTATAAGGACCTATTGGTGTGCCTGCTGGTGACCTCTCTCCATCCATATGTCTTTGCTGTCTTCTGAGCCTATACATGTGCATAGGAGGTCTGTCCCCTGTTGTCTTTATGGAGGTCTGTGTGCATGACTCTGCACTAGGAAAAGCAAGACAGGTTCAACCTCTCCAGTGTTGCAGTTACCCCTTGTGTACTAGCAGACATACTGGGTGTGTAGGTTCAGCTGGAAAGAAGGGTGTGAGAGCTGTGAGGTGACAAGGCTCAAGTCAGGAGAACTTCCTTGGGATCCAGAGAATGCTGGGAGGGGGCATCTAGGACAATTGAGAGGACACTGCTGGCTGTTGTTGACCAAGGGTAAAGTATATTAATAAGTATTGATAACGATACTGAACACCAAGAATGTATAAGTACAGAGGTAAAGCAGGAGGCCAACAGTTCTGAACATCTGGAGCCAGCTTCCTTGTGCCCTTATTGAAAATTGCCAGGGAACAGATCACAAAGAGAATTCTATGCAAATGAAGCTAAGCTTTTTCTATTGAAAACCGTGTGTTTGACTCAGGAGGGAGGGGTTAGCAAATAGAATACAAGAATATGTAACTGCTTAAGGTTTGCCTTAGTGCTTACCCTTAGTGCTTCAGCGTGAATTCCAGCTTGTGTCCCTGCCTCCCTCATATCCTGATAGAGCATTTGGTTTATTATAAATATTTAGTGTGACATTTGGCTTCCCATAGCTGGCTAGGGCATGGCTCATGTGTCATGTGTCTGGTCATAAGGGAAACTGTGTGTGTCCAACAGTGGAATGTGTGTCTGGTCTCAGAGTTCCCTACCTGACAACAGGAGCAGGACTTAGGCATGTGAAGACTGCTCTGGGAGGCATCCTCTAACCAGGCCAACCCATAGCTTCTCTCACAGATGCACTCCATCCGCAATCTGCCGTCCATGCAGTTCCGTGAGAATCAAGGGAAGGATGGTGTGGAGGACATGACGCAGCTGGAGTGAGTGGTGGGATTGATGGAATGGTGCCACGGCCATACCTCAATATCTTTTTTTTTTAACCTCAGTATCTTTTGTCTCCCAGAATGTTTCAGATAGTTTCCTCATCAGCAAAATGGCTTGTCATGAAATGTCATGAAGACCAAATGTGTAGACATCAAAGCTACAATGGGCATACAGGCCTGAGTTCCAATCTAGCCCTATAATTTACCAACTGGGTGACCTTGGCCAAATCACTTAGCCTTTCTCTGCCTTAGTTTCCTCTCCATAAAACAAGAGTGATGGAAGACCCTCCCTTTCACTGTTGTGAGAGTTCTGGAAGCTTGGAGATGCTTAAAATGAGTGGTGTCCAGCAGGCCCCACTGCAGTGAGTGCCATTGTTAACATTCCCACTAGACAGGTGAAGAAACTGAGACAAAGGGAAGGAAGAACCAAGTGAAGAGTCTCAGAGAAGTAACTTGGTCAAAGTATTATAGCAGGCTTATGTCAGGAATGAGAATTGAACTCAGGCCCAAACTATTTTTTTTTTTTTTACCTGACACATCCTTGCTTTTTTTTTTAAATTTTTTTAAATTTTATTATTTGTGTGTATTGTCAAATCAGATCTGCCTGGTACAGGAGGAGATTGTCCCTCCTTTCCCGGCAGAGCATCTGGTGGATTCGAACTGTGCGCCTCTGGGATTGCAGTGCAGCTTCTTGCCACTAGGCCACCAGAGCTCCCCAGGCCCAAACTATTCTTAATCATTGACACTGAAGGGAGAGATAGCTTTGACCTGGGCTCTAACTGCACCTCTCTGCACCCTCTCAGAGATCTCCAGGAGACCACTCTGCTGTCTAATATCAAGACTAGATTTGAACAGAACCTCATCTATGTGAGTAAATTTGGGCCAGCCTCCCTGCCTGTAGGATCTCCCTGAGATGGGGTGAGGAATGAACGCACAGGCTCCTCCGGTGGGGCCCCAAACCTGTGACCTCTAGTTAGAATATGGAACACTAGAACCTTGAGTACCAAAGTCTAAAACCCTAGGTGGAGGCCAGAACCCAGAAATAAGCAATTTCTGATGCAGGCCCTATGAATATAAACTCCAAAATTCCAGCATGGGGGAGATCACCAGAATGGGATGAGCCACTGGCTCTAGAAGATAGAATAAGGTGCCTAGCCTCACTGGGTAGAGAAGGCAAAAACCCCGGGAGACTGGCCAGCCTCAGAATGACCCAGTTCCCCCAACTCCTGCCCCTCCATAATGTTGACGTTAGAATTTCTAGAGCCCAGACCTGCCTTTGTGAGTAGAAGAAGTAGGCAATAGTTTTTGTGGCAAGCAGCCTGGCCCCCTGGGAGAACAATGGCTATGAGGTTTTAATCCTCTCAGATCCTTCTCAGCCTCAGTCTGCTACAGTGCCTGGAATTTGTTGTGAGTGTGAATGCTGGCACTGGGCTGCTTGAGCTCAGTCTTGAGTTGGACTTCAGGAAATGGTGACCCTACCTCCAGAAGCAGGGATGGGGGAAATGTGTAGGAACTGAAGCTGCCGCCTGCCCAACAGACCTACATTGGCAGCATCCTGGTGTCAGTGAATCCATACCAGATGTTTGGGATCTATGGGCCAGCACAGGTGCAGCAGTACAGCGGCAGGGCTCTGGGAGATAACCCACCGTGAGTATCTAGGACCAGGGGGCGGGCTGGGGAGGGCCAGGGATGAGAGCAGTGGAAAAAATGCACCTGCTTAATTATACAAGCCTTTCCCAGGCCAGGCCACACCCTCCTGGATCCAAGGCTTCTCACCCCAAGATTTAGAGACCAAAGTGGCTCAAACAAGGATGGGAGATTGGGAACATGTCCTCAAGGGGTGAAGGGTGGAGCAGGACTGACCACTTAGCTGGACAGAGATGCCTGCTTGGCCTCACCTCGTGGAAGTGATGCCTAGCAGCTTGTTTTCCCAGACACCTCTTTGCAATTGCGAATCTTGCCTTCACCGCAATGCTTGATGCCAAACAGAACCAATGCATAATCATCAGGTGAGCCATGGGCCAGGTTGCAGGGAATTCCTGTTCATAGGGTGAATGGGAGAATGTCAGTCAAAGAACATTCTTGTCAGGCCAGACTTGCAAGGTGACCCTGGGAAATTCCTCATCATCTCTTAGTTGATGTGCACTCATGACCCCACCCCACCCCTCATCTTTAGCACACCTAGGGAACCCAGAAGTGGCAGCTAACAGAACAAAACTCATTCTGCCTCTTTTCCTATGCAGTGGAGAAAGTGGATCTGGCAAAACTGAGGCCACGAAGTTGATTCTGCGCTACCTGGCCGCCATGAATCAGAAGCAGGGCATCCTGCAGCAGGTGGGTCTCTGTCTCCCCAGGATGCTCCTTTGAGGAGCATGTCCATGTGCTTATCAAGAGGCAAAAGTCCTTGGACCCAATTTGAAGATGAGGAGCTTAGGCTACAGATAGGTTGCCCTCTGGCCAGAAATTGCAGATAATCTGTTGGACTTCAGGCTCTTTTTTATGCCCCTGAACCACTAGGAAACACTGGATAGAGAGTCCCATCCTGGCTGTGTTCCTAGAGGAAGCTCTAGGTTCTAGGGTTGGAGCTGGCACCACATATACAAAGGGATTGATCTGTTTCTCCTGCCTGACATCTTCCCAGTTACAACTCAGAGACCCCATTCCTTCACACCTGTAGTGAGACAGATCTGGGTGTGGGGGAATGAAGAGTAGATAAGGGGATCTAGAGAACAACTAAGGAGAGAGTAGACACTGGGTGAAGGTGTGGGTCCCAAAGAAGCTAGGCTCCTTCTGGATAGGGTTAATAAAGTGAGCATTGAATACCCACCCTGAGCGTGTTAACACCACAGTAATTTCCTGGAGACCTGCTGCTGGGCTGTTTGGGAGGCAGAGAGCTGCAACTGTACAAATCTTTCAACCACACAGACATGCCAATCTAGTTGGGAGACTGAAAGAAAAAAATATTTTACATAAATGTTGAATATGCAAAGTATGGTAAATAGTGGGGGAAAACAATGAGGGGGTCCAGGGTATGAGTTGAGGGTAATAATTTCAAACATGGTGGTAGCTCATCCCCACAGAGAAGCTGAAGAGATACCCCTGAGGACATCCATTAGTTGTTAGGTGTCATTGAGTCAACTTCAATTCATAGCAACCCTGTGAACACAGATTTGAGCCTTGCCCTATCCTGTGCCATCCTAGCCAAATGATATGCTTCAGTAACTGTCAGTGCATCTTCCTCTCTTTTAATGACCCTCCATCCATCCTTTAGGATTGTTAGTGATGGTAGTGGGTTTATGTTTTGCGTGTTTTATCATTGTTTTCAGGGCATCTGGGTGGTGCAAATAGTTAGTGTGTTCAGCTATTGCCTAAAAATTTGTGGGCCACATCCATCCAGAGGTACCATGGAAGAAAGACATGGCAGGTCACTTCAGAAGCCAGCCAGTAAGATCCCTGTGAAAACAGGTTCTTTTGACACATGAAGGGTCACAGGTGTCAGAATTGAATGGCAACTGACTATCATTGCCAAGGTCACCCCTGGGCAGTTCTGACTGTGCAACATTAGTGCTCTAGTCAGTTGTTTAGCAGACTTTTCAAGAGGGTCCATCCTGTAGCCTGTCCTGTGTGGGTACAGTTCTAGGGTGGAGGTCCATTCTGTAGCCCATCCTGTGTGAGTATGGTTCTCGGGGGGAGGTCCTCCCCATAGCTAGTCCCATGTGGGTATGGTTCTAGGTGGGGAGGGTCCATCCTGTAGCCGTTCTCATGTGGATATGGTTCTAGTGGAGGAGAAAGAGGGTACATGCCCAAATGGGAAGAGAATGAGTTGCTGGTGGTGCTGAGGGCAACTGTGGAACAAAGTGGGGACTGTCCTCCTCATTTCAGTTATGCTGCTGTCACCAAGCAAGTGACAGGTAAGCAACATATTAAAGACGATGAGTGTGATCCAGCCAGGTAGGTGAGCACCTCAGCCTCCAGACAGCAGTGTCCAGAAAGGCATGTGTGGTACATCCCTAGATTGTTCTAGCAGTTAGACTCTGGTCATCTGAAGGCAGAGGCTAAAGATTTGTTGGCTTTAGAAAGTTCCAGGTTTGTTTCAATCTGGTGGCCAAAAGTGTTCCCATGGTCTGAAGCTCCAGATCCCAGGAGTAGAGAGGCTCAGTTTGCTTCTGTTCTTGACCTTTTTTTTTCTCTGCCCTGTGCTCCTGAAGATAAAGGTACTTGGTTTGTGTGTGTGTGTGTATGTGTGTGTGTGTCTGCGCATGTTGCACATATGTTCTCATGTCCATGTGGACACTCATTTGTGTGGATGTGTCAGTTTGTTCACACATGTGCAGAGGGAAGTATAGGCAGGAAGAGGCATCAGAGGTCTATGGCAGAGGAGTTTTGTGCGGCGGCTGTGGTGTGTCAGAGTCCAGGGAGAGATCACATAGCACTAGCAATGTGAGAGTTAGGGAGAGGTGAGTCAAAGCAGCAGGGACACTGGGGAGAACTCAGACTCTAGGGAGTCACACAGTTACCTCTTACAAGGGATTTCTTGGAGTGGGCTGTATCTGTGGAAACCTAGGAGTAGTCCCAGCCATATTCCCTATCCTAGGACCCCAGAACAGTGCCCAGCCCCCCGAGTCCCACATCTTCTGGGGTCCAGATACTAGAGGCAACACCTCTCTTGGAGTCCTTTGGGAACGCCAAAACCGTAAGGAATGACAACTCTAGCCGCTTTGGGAAGTTCATGGAGATCTTTCTGGAAAGGTGAGTGGGTAAGGGAAGGGGCACTTAGGGAACTTTGACCTCATGTATACCACATACCCTGCTCCAGAGCTACTGCCACCCAACCTTATGCTGTGTTCCCTCCTTCAGAGGTGTCATCTCTGGTGCCATTACTTCCCAGTACTTGCTTGAGAAGTCCAGGATTGTGTTCCAGGTGAGCCTTCTGAGTGTTGGAGTGGATCTACATAACTTCCACATGGTAGGCTTGGTGAAGGCTGAGAGTTCATGAGTAATGCTTACATGTTTGTACACATGTGAGCACGATTGTGCTTATACACACACACCCATCCCACCATACAGGGTTTCTTGCTCTTCCTGAAGCAAGCCTGGCACATGCCCTAGGGCTTTTGCACCTCTTGTTCCCTCTTCCCTCTGATACTGATGTGACCAAACCCCTCACTTTCTCTGAGCATCTTCACTGATTGTCAAACTTCACTGGAACTCCTTGTGTCTCCACTGCTTTAATTCTTATCAAAGCACTTATTACCATCTGACCCATGTTATGCTGTGATCAGTGACATGCTGGCTGAATCTCACTGGCAGGGCAAATGCATACTTTGAGCATGTTATTTGAGTGAAAGTTTACAAAGTTAGTTGGTATTCCATTCAACCATTCATGCATAATTTGTTTTATGACGTAAATTAGAATATACATCATGTAACTGCATTCTTTCTACTTCCTACCTGTGAATCTCATTTCCATTAATCCTTCAATCCTTATCGTTTCCTGTCTTCTGAGTGTTATCACTGAAAAATGCTGCCCTTTGATGTTGTGTGGTCAGTTGTAAAGAGTGAGTGCCTTCCTGATGTTCATGTTACAGTAATTTCTTTTGCTTATCTGCAAATTGAGCCATGGAGATGAATTTCATCCTATTTTGAGGGGTAACTAAGTGCTGCACTCTTGGGGTTCCACCAGTCTCTATTGGACCAGTAAATGTGGCCATTATTGTTTTTAAATTTTGTGTTTAACATTTCCCGCCTACTCTAGCCAGAACCTTCTACTTTGATCCTTTTGAAAATGACCATCATTGATAGCTGGGCACTGTCTTCCTTCTTGTCTCAGGTTAGGGAAGTTGAGATTCAAGTGGTCTGTTAATCCTTGGGACCAGTTGTTTCTGTACCTCTTTGCTTCCCCATTGCAGCCCCCCACCCCCTGCCTTTCTTTACTTTAGGACATGGAGAGACTTAATAGTTGCATCTCAGAAGGTGGCTTAAAAGCTATGGGTTTTGTGATGTTGGTTTTGTTTTGTTTTTTTAAAATTTATTCTTCATTTGGTTTTTCATACATTCATAGATGTTTTGTTTTATAACATTAACTATCATAGATGAAGTAAATGAATTACAATGTCTAATCATCCATAATTGCATATTGCTTTTCCCTTCACCTAGCTTACCAATTTATTACATTTTACTCCTCTTTCCCACTCTTTCTATCCCTATTAACAACCAAGGTTGATTGTACCTGTGTGTAAACCTTTGTAATGTGACATTATACCGTAATTGTCCTCAGTAGAATTTACTTTAGATTCGTCCATGTTGTGCAATATTTCACAAATTCTTACATTGTATCTTATTAAATTAATCATTATTAACCACTATCAGCCCATCTTTTCAGATCTCCACTGGATCTTTTCTAATGCAGATCCCAGTTACTGCTTACCAAATTAGGATGTAAAACATTATCTTTGGGGGCTGTGCTGTACAGACTGACTTTGACATCCTGTGAGACTCCCAAGGTCTAGAACCATTAATATATCTTCTTGGTGTAATGGGTTCTGATTCAGAAGGTTATGTAAATTTGTTCCCTGTAGGCTCTTCTATATACATGGCTATACTAACATGAATGTAGACACAAAATCTGCCAATCTTACATGTGATCATGAGCATAGTCTTTCACCTATCCTTATCTGTTCATTTTGCCTATCTAACTGTATGTCCATCCATAAGTAGGTTACTGTTTATTATTACTGATATACAAGATTGTGTATGTAATAGCGTTACCTGTTTTTACTGTATTTTTGTGTAACTCTCTGTGTCTTCCCTCTCTTTAGTGGCATTAAGCTGAGTTTCTCCTTATTGTATATGGCATTTCCCTTCATCTGTCTAAAAATGTTCCTGTTACCCTATTTACTGATTTTTTTACACTCCTGCCCTTCTCTTCCCATCCCTGGTAACTACCCAAGAATGATTCTATCTGTGTATAAACCTTTCTTAAGCTTTTTGTAATAATGGTTTATACAATATTGGTCTTTTTTTGTTACTAACTTATTTAACTCAGTACAAAGCCTCTGGATTCATCCATGTTATCTGATATTTCACAAATTCATTATTATTCTTTTTTTCATTATTATTCTTAAGTGCTACTGTCCATTGTTTGTATATGAACCATAGTTTGTTCATCTGTTCATGGATGCTTGAGTTTCCACTTCTTTGACATTTTAAATAGCACTGCAATGAACATGGATGTGCATATATTTGTTTGTGTTGCAGATTTACTTCTTTAGGATATATACCTAGTAGAGGAATTATTGGTTCAAATGGTATTTCTCTCTTCTGAGCTTTTTAAGGAGGCACCAAACCATTTTCCACAATAATCACATGACTCCATGTATTCTTGGGAGGCTTGTTTATCTTGCTCTCTGCTCTATCCAGGGGCTTAGGAAATGTCCAGCCTGCCTAGCTGAGTGCCTTATGGAAGGCTCTGTATTTGCACATGTGGGCCTGTGGATGCAGGTGTTATGTGGTCATTTCACATCAGAGATAGGCTATCTTTCTCTCATTTTTCCAAACAAAACCTATGGCACCTGCTCTCCATCACTTATTACTGGTGTACCTGCACCATTCACCCTACCTTACCCAGACTTGTTACGAGGTACCCCTTGTATATATGAGGGAAGAGGGGTGTGTGTGTATGCGCGTGCAAGTGTTCCCTTTTGGAGGCCCACCATCTCACCATCTTGCAGGCCAAAAATGAACGGAACTACCATATCTTCTACGAGCTGCTGGCTGGGCTGCCCACCCAGGTCTGCCAGAACTTTAGCCTACAGGAGGCAGAGACCTACTACTACCTAAATCAGGTGGGTGTGTCAGAGAGCCCCACAGGGCCTGTGGGGGTGTGGGATACCAGTGAGATAGGGGTTAGGCTTCCAGTTAGCATAGACTCAATCTTCCATGGGAGCAGAATAAAGGATGCTCTACAAGCCTAATTCTCTGACCCTCCATCACCCCCTGTGGTGGATGAGCAGCTAAATCATACTGTCCTAATGGATAGTGAAGGTTTGAGGTGGGGAGGGTTCAGATTTAAGCATTTTGTGACAGTAAGGAAATTAGAAGTCTTTGTAGTTCAAAGTAGATTGTATGAGTCTCTTATTTTTCTGGAGCCGGGAAGGGTGCTTTCCAGCCTAGAGTCTTTTTGTGCGTCAGGATCCTCATATGGACAATAGGAACACTATAGCATCCACTTCACAGGGATGTTGTTGTTATTGTTGTTATGTGCCGTCGAGTCGCTTGCGACTCATAGCGACCCTATGTACAACAGCTCTAAACTCTGCTCTGTCCTGTGCCAATCTCATTGTCTCTGACACACTCATCCTGATTGCCCCAGTCGCTGAATCAGTCCACCTCCCAGAGGGCCTTCCCCTCCTGCGCCTGCCCTCCACCCTCCCAAGCATGATGACTGGTCTCTCCTTACAACATGACCAAAGTATGTCAGACGAAGCCTCAGAATCCTTGCCTCCAAGGAGCAGCCTGGTTTAACCCTCTCCAGGATGAATCTGTTTGTTTTCTTAGCAGTCCATGGTACCCTCAACACTCTTCTCCAACACCAAAGCTACTTAGTCTCCACCGTTGCTCTTGAGTACTTTAGAGAGATCCCTAACAGCAGACTTTCCCATTGCAATAAGTCTTTTAATTTCCTGGCTGCTGGTGCCAAGAGTGTTGATTGTGGAGCCAAATCAATTCACAGGGACACTTACTGTATATTCCTTATTGGAAAGAAATACGTATAAACGTTACACACAACCTGGCACATAGGAGGTTCCCAGGAAACACTGGCTGCTCTTTTTTATAGCCTTAAAGGCTATTAAAAAAAGGCTATAGGCTGTGACAGAGGTCAAATGCAGCCAGCCACTGCTGTATGTAACCCTGGTTGGCCATGCTCAATCTTCTGGCTCATGGCAGTGGGATACCCTATATGATGAGAGTTTACAGAACTGGCTCAGAATCACACTGCTGGTAGGGCCTGCAGGCTCCAGGCTCCTACTTATGACCCCTGACCCCTGCCTCACCCAGGGTGGGAACTGCGAGATTGAGGGGAAGAGTGATGCAGATGATTTTCGGCGGCTCCTAGCGGCCATGGAGGTGCTGGGCTTCAGTGGTGAGGACCAAGACAGCATCTTTCGTATCTTAGCCTCCATCCTGCACCTTGGCAATGTCTACTTTGAGAAGTATGAGGTAAGAAGAGGTCACAGTTCACAGCACTCCTCTCCAGATTGGGACAAGGCTTTCTTCTTGGAGGCTTACCTGCCACCAATCTTTCCCTTTCAGGCTACCCTCTGCTCAGTATTTGCCCTTTATTGATTTTTCCTCAGTGGTGGTCATCTTTTTCTTAGTGCTGTACAGACTGCTCTTTATATATGTTAAGAAATCAGCCATTTGTCTCTAATATGAACCATAAATGTATCTTGAATTTGTCGTTTATAGTTTTATTTCTTTATGTATTTTTTGTTTTAAGGTAGCACTTTTTATTAATTTATTTTCTGCTGCATGTGGTTTTCATTTTGTTACCAATACGTTCCCATGTTACCAAATAATCTGAACCCTAATTTGCTATGTAAACTTTTACTTACAGCCTAATAAAGTGATTAAAAGAGGTAGGGAAAAAACCCAAACAAATATGTTCCCAATATCCTTTCACATGTACCAATTCTAGATGCTAATTACATACCTTGAAACCATTACTATAATCTTAAAAGTTAATAACCATGAGCCAGCTTTTCTCTTTGTTGAATTTAATCCTCTTTTGGGACTACTTATAAACAATGTTTATTTTATTTTTTTGCTTTAGTTAACAAATGCTATGACTTTTATAATAAATGTTGGAGAGGATGCAAAAGAGTTCTGGTGGCCTAGTGGCAAGATGCTGCATTGCAATGCCAGAGGTATGCAGTTCCACTATATGCTCTGCTGGAGAAAGAGGGCCAATCTTCTCCTGTACCAGTCAGATCAGATTTGACGGTATACACGCAAAAACAAAACAAAACAAAAAACATGTTGGAGAGGATTCAAAGAGATATGAACTCTTATATACTGGTGGGATTGTGAAATGGTACAACCACTCAAGAAGGCAGTTATGGCATTTTCTCAAAAAGCTGAACATAATCCCACTTGGTCATGATGAATTTTTTTGTTGTTTTGCTTTTGGATTCTATTGGCTAGGATTTTGTGAAGGATTTTAACATCTCTTTTCATGAAAGATATTGGTCTATAGTTTTCTTTTTTTGGTAATATCTTTGCCTGGTTTTGGTATTAGGATTATGTGGGGAGTGTTTCTTATTTTTCTATATTTTGAAATAAATAGAATTGGTGATAAACCTCTGAATGTTTGGTAGAATGCAACTGTAAGCTATCTAGTCCAGGACTTTTTTTTGGTGGGGGAAATCTTTTTATGACCTGCGCAATTTCTTCTTTTGTGATGAGTCTGTGCAAGTGTTCTATATCTGACTATGTCAGTCTGGGTAGGGCATGAGTTACAAGGAATTTGTCAATTTCCTCTAAATTTTCAGATTTATCCAAATACAGGTTTTCATAATATTCCAATATTATAGATTTCATTTCTTCTGGTTTTGTTGTGATGTCACCTCTGTCATTCCTTAATTGAGTTATTTGGGTCTTCTTTCCTTTTTTCTTAAGTTTGCCAATCGTTTGTAAATTTTACTGATCTTTAAAAAAAAACAGCTCGTGGTCTTATTGATGGTTTCAATTGTTTTTCTGTTTTCTATCTCATTGATTTCAGCTATTGTTCTTATAATTTCCTTTCATCGATAGGCTGTCGGGTTAGATTGCTGTTATTTATCTATTTGATGAAGGTTTTGAGTTAGAGTATTAATTTTTCTTCTTTCTTCCTTTTTTATGTGTTTGCCTATTGCTATTAATTGCCCCAAGGACTACCTTACTCATATCCCAGAGGTACATTGTATTTTCATTATCATTTTGTTTTGAGGAACTTTTTTACTTCATTCTTTACTTCTTCTATAATCCAATTGTGTTCTAGCAGGGTGTTATTTAGCTTCCACATTGATGGCTTTATGAGTGTTATCTTCTTGTGGTTAATTTTTAGTTTTCTGATATTGTAGTCTGAAAAGATACTTTGTATTATTTCAGTGTTTTTTAATTTGTTGAGGCTTGCCTTGTGCCTTAATATGTCATCAGTTCTGGAAAATGTACAATGTGCACTTAAGAAAAAAAGTTAATTGAATTTTAGTTGGGTACAGTGTTAGGAATACATCCACAAGGTCAAGTTGGCTGATTGTGTAGTTTAAGACTTCTGCATCTTTGTTAAGTTTCTTTTGAGTTGACCCATCTTTTGTTGAGAGTGGTGTGATAAAGTCTCCTACCACTATTGTGGTGCTGTCTATTTCTTTCTTCAGTTCTGTTAATGGTTGTTTTATGTATTTAGCAGGTCTATCATTTGGTGCAAGCAGGGTTGTGTCATCTGCATAACGCAGATTGTGAATAGATATTCCACCAAGCCTGACACCACAATTCTCCTCATAGAGCCCAGCCTCTCGGATAATCTGCTCTTCATACAGGTTGAAAAGGTATGGAGATAGGACACATCCCTGGTGTACACCCTTCCCAATTTTGAACCATGCAGTGTTACCCTTCTCTGTTCTGACAGCTGCCTCTTGGTCCAAGTATAGGTTTCGCATTAGCACAATTAAATGTTCTGGGATTCCCATTCTTCTCAGAGTCAGCCACAGTTTGTTATGATCCACGCAGTCAAATGCCTTTGCATAATCAATGAAGCACAGATAGACATTCTTCTGGTATTCCCTGCTTTCAGCTAAGATCCATCTAACATCAGCTACACTATCCCTAGTACCCCGACCCCTTCTAAACCCAGCCTGGACTTCTGGCAGTTCTCTGCTGATGTGCTGTTCCAGTCGTTTTTGGATAATCTTCAGTAGAATCTTGCTTGCATGTGAAATCAATGATATTGTTCTGTAGTTTCCACACTCAGTTGAAACTGAGGAGGACCTCATGAACTTGCTGCAGAGGGTCAAGGACTGCAGCTTTCAGTATGGACTGAGGCTCAATGTGAAGAAGACAAAGATTCTCACCACTGGACCAATTTGTAGCATCAGGATGGATGGCAAAGAGATTGAGATTGTTCACAGCTTCCATTTGCTCTGCTCCACGGTCAACACTCTTGGCACCAGCAGCCAGGAAATAAATAAAAAAATGTATTGCGATGGGAAAGTCTGTTGTTAGGGACCTCTCTGAAGTACTCAAGAGCAACGGTGTCTCTCTGGAGACTAAGGTACGCCTGATACAGGCCATGGTCTTTGCAATCACTTGTTATTCATCAGAGAGTTGGACAATGACTAGGGAGGACAGAAGGAGAATTGATGCCTTTGAGCTGTGGTGCTGGAGAAGAGTATTGAATGTACCATGGACTGCCAAGAAAACAAACAGATTCATCCTGGAGAGGGTTAAACCAAGCTACTCCTTGGAGGCAAGGATTCTGGGGCTTCATCTGACATACTTTGGGCATGTTGCAAGGAGGGACAGGTCCTTGGAGAGGGACATCATGCTTGGGAGGGTGGAGGGACGGCGCAAGAGGGGAAGACCCTCTACGAGATGGATTGATTCAGTGACTGGGGTAATCGGGATGGGTGTGTCCGAGGCAGTGAGATTGGCACAGGATAGAGCAGGCCTTAGGGCTGTTGTACATAGGGTCGCTATGAGTCGCAAACGACTCGACGACACATACAACAACAACATTTGCTTGATATTTTTTTCCCAGCCTTTGATTTTGAGTCTATCCTTCACTTCTTTCATTAGATGTGTCTCTTGTAGGCGACATATTGATGGGCTTTGTTTTTTTATCCTTTCTGCTACTGTCTTTCTCTTAATTGGTACATTAAGTCCATTAACATTAAGTGTGATTATTGACAGGCCAGGTTTTATCATTGCCATTTTGCTGTATTATTTTTTCTGTTGTTTTGGTTATTATGGTTCATCTACTTTCCCTTGGTGCCTCTTTTTGAAGAACTTTCCTTAAAAGTTCTTGTAGGTTTGGTCTTTTTTCGCAGACTCCTTCTTTCTTTTCTGCAAAGAATGTGATTTCTTTTTCATATTTGATGGAGAGCTTTGCTGGGTACAGGATCCTGGCTTGGTAATTATTTTCTTTCAACTTTCTTTATATGCCATCTCATTGTCTTTTTTAAAAAGTTTTTTTTAATTATTAATTGTAATACAGACATTTTCGATATCCATTCATTCATTGTTGCACTTTTCTCCCTGCCCACCCCTCCTCTCCCAGTTTGCTCTTCTCTGTGAAAGGTAAAAGAAAAAATATTTCATTGTTATACAATCCCTCCCAGCAAGTCCAATCCACTATACAGCCTTCATTCTGGATTCCTGTCATCACAATAATACCTACTCAGGTATCCCTTTTAAACAGTTCTCTCCCTCATCTGTTTCAATGCAGTACACATAATTTATTCCACCTTTCTCAGCCTCCCCCCAGTCCCAATGTCAGTTCCTTTTTACAACAGTGGCACTATGCAGTATCTGTCCTTTTGTGACTGAGATATTTCACTCAGCATATGTCCTCCAGGGTCACCCATTTTTTATAATATTTCATGAGTTCCTTGTTTTTCAATGCAGTGTAGTATTCCATTGTGTCAATAAACCACAGCTTCTCTATCCATTCATTTATTGGTGGGCATTTAGGTTGTTTCCAACTCCTTGCTATTGTGAACAAAGCCGCGATAAACATGAGTGTGCATATATCTGCTTGGGTGATAGTTATGGTTTCTTTGGGGTCTCATTGTCTTCTTAATCATGTAAGAGGTATGCAGGGATGGTTCAACATAAAAAATACAATCAACATAATTCATCACATTAACAAAACAAATAACAAGAACTGTATGATCCTAGCAATTGATGCAGAAAAGGCATTTGACAAAATCCAACACCATTTCCTGATTAAGACACTCAACAAAAATGGAATAGAAGGGAATTTCCTTAACATAGTTAAAAAGTATATGTGCAAAACCAAGAGCCAACATCATTCTCAATGGAGAAAGACTAAAAACATTTTCTTTCTGAACAGAGACTAGACAAGGATGTCACCACTTCTATTCAGTATTGTATTGGAAGTGCTTGCTAGAAAAATATGACAAAAGAAGGAAATAAAAGGCATCCCAATTAGTAAAGAATGGTTA